GGGGGTTCACTGTGATACGCCATGAATGAGTTTTGCACTTTTGAACTAGACACGTTTTGGGTTTTGCCAATATATTGTGAGGCAAAATTTAGTGTTCCCGGATCGTCCCATCTTTTCCAATTCACGATCCATAATGATTTCACAGCTGTGCAATTTCAAAATCCGACAGTGCATATCACAGACCAACACGATCGGATTATTTCACCCAAGTGAGCAATGGACACCTTGTGTATGCCAGGCACATCTGGTGGTTGTTATTCGTTACGCTGTCAGGAGGGACAAGTGAGATTGACCGATTGATTGAGCGCCCGTAATTGACTGTTTAGCTGGGTTCATGTGAGACAGGTGATTATCACGCACCGTGATTGATCCCCGTGACAAAACGTGTGCCGGATGAATCCGTACTGATAGCATAAATCTGTGTAGGCACATTCGGATCTTTCACCGATCTGTGTAAACAATGCACTTTACTCGTGTAGGTTCCGTATAAACAGAGCTGATCGTTGACACAGGGAGATGTTCAATCATCTGACAGTGTCATAAAAACGAGAAGAAACAGGAGAACACTAATTCAACCCCTGTTAACCCTGCTTCTCTCTTGCCTATTGGATTTTCAAACAAACCAAACAATAGGGAATGGCGAACATGCTCGGTTTCTGTGTAGTCAACAACCTTTCCCTTAGGAGCGACGGATTGCAATTGAGCAAACTCAGAGCTCTGAAGAGCGTAAGAGCGAACTTCGTTTCTCACCGCGTGATACACGCATGGAACAGACTGCCAGTGAAGGTAGTTTCAGCCCAGACTGTAGTGCAGTTCAAGGCCAAACTGGACAATAGTTGATCTGTTCCATTCCCCAACCTTTGTTAATTCCTGAGCTATTGCATCTTTTTTCCAGCCTTCTCTTGTGCGCTCCTTCACCCTGTCCCCCCTCCCGACCATTCGTCCTAGAGACTGCCTCTTTTTCGTTCATCGTCGTAAGAGAACTTCACTCATTTTCTTCCGTTTCCGTCCGCCTTTTATTCTACTCTGCTCTCAGTCGATATCAATGCTTGCTTAGTAGTGCGTAACAGTGCTGAAAGTAGACAAATTATCCGTTTCTAATCTTGAATCGACCGTGTATTTCACAGAAGTGATCAAGACATTGCACTTTTCAAGTTATGGGCCTGGCAAACCATTCACGGTGAACTCAAGTACTGGAATACCGGACAGTTGAAGCACGGTTGGACATTCACGCCCACTCATGCAACAAAACTGGACTCTCGTTGGCTCGAACTGCAAGTCCTAAAATCTGATCTGACCTGACCCGATTTGCAACCGTACCAAAATATACCACAAAAAGTATCACTAATTCGGAATAAAAACTGTCTTTGAAAAAAGAAAAGAAAAGAACATCAAGCAGATCATCTGATTCCAGGGAGTTGTGGATTCGATCATGAGACTCGAAATTAGGATTCACTTATGATCGCATCGTTGATGATGTTCGG